GGGGTAGGTTACTTAGCTGTTTTCGTTATGCATTAGATTACTATATAGCAATAGCGAGCAGCAACGCGAGCGTGGATAGCTTCCGCTAGAAAGGTTTTGAAGTTTCGGAAAACATCAGTCAAAATATAGAAAGCATATTGGAGGTATAAAAATTATTGTAAACTGAAGGAAAGAAAGATGGAGGTCCCCAATGCTGGAAGTACGAAAAATATGGTTTGAAATGCCACAAAACTGAGATATTAGGGTAGCATAGAGGAAGTTGATACGAAAGAAGGGAGGGGGGCAGGGGGGGGAGAGTGGAAAAACTTGGGGATGTGCACTTTGACTTGGGCAAAGGCAAAGATATACGCACATCAAGAATCAGAGATCAAAGCTTTGAGCGGTCGTGACAGGGGAAGCTCAAGAGTAGTTTTTGGGATGTAATCGAAAGGTAAAAAAAAACTAACTAAATATGGCGAAGAGGCAATGTGCCAAATTTCTACGCACATCCCACTTCACTCACGGCCAGACCGGAGTGCCGCGAAGCGGCACTTCGGTCTGGTACTATATATAAAGCGCAAGCACCCCCATCTGACGTCGTCAATCGGGCCAGAGGTGTAAACATGTATGTCGTTTTGTGCCGGTGCGAGCGTACCGAGCTGATGACTCACAATGGTAGTGATGCCTGTTTGGACGATGTTGATCAAATGGCATAACCCAAAGAGCGATCACAATGGTAGTGATGCCTGTCTTAGACGATGTTGATCAAATGGCATAACCCAAAAAGCGATCACAATTGTAGTGATGCCTGTCTTAACTCAAATTAACTATTTAAAACTTTGGTTCTTTGGGAATGGTTTATGCAATTTTAAGACGCAATTGAATAAATTAATAGTTAAATACGAATGATGGGAGTAAAGTATTTTGATTAATTGGTTGTATTTTACTTTGTTTATAGTAATCCATACTATTATATAAATGGGTCGCGCTGATGACGTCATATCATACAGTGCTGCCTTCATATGTTTTCGGTTATGCTCTTCAGCAATGTTTATGAGTTGGCACCAAAGCAGCGAAATTAACACCACGGGAACTGTCAGCGGCTAGATTGATTAAGCTGTCCCACTGACTGTAATAGCTTCATTTCGAAAATCATCGAAAGTTGGTTAAATCGTTTGTACATTATCTCACCACCATTACCTTCTTTTTTGGCATCTCGCTTTTCTATTTCTACTATGGAGCGTTTAATTTGGAGTGCAGCATAAGTTTTTCAAAAAAGTTGGATATTTTGGCAAAATACTGCAGTCTTCCATAGTTCATTTTTCGAGTGCTTAGTATGTTTCCTCACCGTAAAACAGTTGCGCCAAATCTTCAAGTAATCTGTCCCTTTAATTTTTCTGCTAACACATCTCAGCAGGGAAGTTGAAGTTCTCCACGAAATGCTTAGCGTTTAGTTATTATTTTAGACAAACCACTAAATCTGTTTTTGGAGGTTTCTCGCAAACTTTACTTTGGACATCCCTGCCTACGATTTTTTTGAATGAGCATTTCGTTGAAATGCCAACAGCAAAGGCAATTCCTTAGTTTCTTCTCAATTCACATGCAAAGATGTTTGTTGAAGTTGATGAACTTTGAAAATCTGTGACTCCATCGAGTTGACATCTCATTACTGTGTAAACCTTTTCGATAGTTGCCAAGATTTGTACGAAACACTATCTTTAAACGAATTCAGCGTGGTCATGCGAACTGTCTTGAAACTCGATGAAAGCTGGATGCAAAAATCTTCTTCAGCTAGGAAAAAGTAAAAAAGAAACCATTTTCAAATTTCCGAGATTTCCTTCAAACATTAAAAATTCGAAGAGTAAAGAAGAATAATGTCAATGCGATCGTGATTGATTTTATTAGACTAAATGTTGTATGAATCTGCCGTTTATATCAGCTACGAATTAGAGACAAGGTGGCATGCACGTTGACTTTACATAAACTAAAACTTTACTAACCTATGCGCAGCTTTGCCAAAATACTGCACAACCTTAAAATTGCTTAAGGAAGAGAGGTCTGATTAGGTGAGCAGCTTGAAGCATGAACACCTTTGTAGGTCCCTTCAAGAATTTGAGTTTGCTCAAAAGATAACCTGAAAATTGAGTGGATTTTGGAGCCTACGGATGAATTGCAAGAATGCAGGACAGTTTGGGAATTTCATAAAACGTGAACGAGAGTTTTGATAGTGCAATTTTTTCAAGTGGAAGAGGAAGTATGACGCTTTCAAGAAAGGATACTTTGTGAAAAGAAAGAGGTAGTGTTCGAATTTGGAAAACTCCAGATTTGGTAGTTTCAATATTGGCTACATATTTACAAGAATATCATGAATTTTCTTGCTAATAGTTTCGGGAAGAGATAAAAATAGTCTGATTAGAGAGGTGGAGATTCTAAAGCAGTTTGGAGGGTCGCCTCTTAATGTGGGAAACAGGGTCCCGGGTGGGAAGAGCACGTGGTTGGGATTACTTTGTCGGGTTTGGGATGGGCCCAATCACAAAAAAATTTTTACGTTACGTTTTCTTTACGTGCGAAAGTTTGAGAGCATACAAAAGTCTTCGCAGACTACGAATCTTCAAAAGTTTTGACTTTCAGTCGCATTCCCGCTTCACACGCACAGCCAGCGCGCCCCCCCCCCCCGAGAATGGGTCTTTTTGAATTTTTGAAATTTTTGAAAGTTACTTAAATGTGTTATAAAAATGTGCAGAGGACTGTTTTTACTTGTAAATAATTGAAGTAATTTTTAAAAATTTTTAAAAGTTCAAATTAGCCTTGTAAAAAAAATTTTTTCGGGGGCGTGGCTGTCGCCACGCCCCCTTTTTCTGAAATTTCGGGGTCAGGGGCCCGGAAAAATTTTGGGAAACATCCCAAAAAATTGTTCGGAGTGCGTGGCTGACCACGCACCTTCATTTGAAAAAAATTTTTGCCGCCCCCCCCCCCGAGCCGAAATCCTGGGTACGCCACTGATAATGATATATATAATGATGCTCGTATGATGTTGGCTTTGAAACTCACCGTGTGATGTTGACCATCACGAACGAATTGTGACCAATTACTCATTCCGAGAGCTTTTCCTTTTAAGAGCGGTATTTGGGAAGAGAAAATTAATGTGTAGAAAATAAAGAAAATTTTGGTCAGTTAGTGAAGTTATTGCGATGGGTAGTTCCAACAAAAGAAAGTCACTTCTGTCACCCACATTTCTGGGCAAAAATCTTCACTAATTATCAAAACAAGTTGGCGATCTACGCGATTTATTTCTTTTTGGCGCCGCTTTTGCGCAAAAATAGAAATGTTGCGCACTTTTTAGCTCAAGTCCATAATCAGCGCATTTACTTCTAACAATAAGCGAATCCACGACGCAAAAAGTGTAGTCACCGATCCGCTTTGGTAAACCAAAAGTCGCGTAGACCGGTTTAAAGGCAGCGTACACCCAAAACAAATGCAACAGATGTTGCAACAGCAACTGCAACTGCAATTGCAGCTTACGCTGTTATGGATTCATCCGGAGGAGGCGGAGCGAAAGAAAAGGGGCGGCGTGAAAGAAAATTGAGGGGGTTTTCTCCGCTCAGAAGCAACATTGGGAGACCGGACCAACGCAGTTGGTCTTCTTTTGGGCCCAGTATATATACGGTGTAGAAAAATCTAGAAAATTAGGCAACTTAGATTTTGGGTGTACGCTGCCTTTAACGCGTAATTCAAAGTTTCCAACTACTAATCGGCTTGTGATTTTGTACAATTCACTTTCATGCTGATAGGGTGTCATGGTCAAAATTTCGGCTAAAGATTTTGAAGTACGACTCGCTCTGTGAATTTTGTGACAAACAGACATAAACACACACAGACAAACACACAGACGCTTAGCGCTTTATTGTAAGTGTAGATAAAGAAAAAGATTAGGGATGAAGAGAAAAATTCTAAATCGATTAAGTGAAACGTTTTACATTAGGCTGGGTTCATGCTGATTCCCATGTTCCGGAACTGCTCCCGCACAGTTCTCGCAGTGTGCTGGAACTGTTCCGGAACTGTGCTGCATGCGCTGCAACCGCCCCGCACGCGTTTTGAACGGCGGGAGTTGGGGAATTTTGACCGCTTTCAACGGTATCTCTTCCAGAGTCCTCTTACTTTCTCTTATTTCTCTACCCCGCTTCTCCTAGTGATGAGAAAAGCTGTGATCTTGAAGGGCGGTCGAGAAATGAAGGCTGTTCTTCTCTACTTATCCGAAACATGCATACGAAAAAGAACGGCGTTCTGTCTTCAACTCCGCTTCAAGTTCGCAGCTTTTCTCATCACTAGAAGAAGCGGGAAGAGAGAATGGAGAAGCAACGATATGAAAAAAGAGGGGCTGAGAATGCCCAAAAACGAAATTTATCAGACAACAAGAGAAGAGTTCCCATTTCTGCATTTTCAGAATGTTCGCATGTCCTAATTCGAGACAGATCGATGCGGAGACTACGCAGCGGTTTTCCTGAAACGGAATAAGTTTTAGCAAAGAGAAAACGAAGCGAAAATGGACGAGCGCAAGAGCAGACATATTATCGGATACGCAGAGCAGAAAAGCGCTCATTTTTCAACCGCGCTTTGACTTCGAAGTTCTGCTGATGAAAGAGGGAAGCGGAATAGAGGAATAAGGGAAAAATGAGAGACATCCGGAAGGAAAAACCGTTGGAAAACCGTCGGTCAAATCTAATTCCCGCCGTTCAAAACGCGTGCGGGGCGGTTGCAGCGCATGCAGCACAGTTCTGGAACAGTTCCGGAACATGGGAATTAGTATGAACCCAGCCTTAGCAATCAGCATCAATATCATCAAGAAATCATAGTTTTGGAAAACGAATGCCTGCAATCGCAGTCAGTTCAATGATTGCAGATTCTCAGCAATATAGTGTTTGCATGTTCTCAAGTACACAGTGTAACATATGCATTTACCGAGCAAACTTAACCACGTTTGCTTCAATTACCGCACTTGACCGATAAATTTCATAGTTTAGGGATGCTGCTTGTTTTGCTTGCGTTTTTTTCAGCCGTCAAGGTGCGTTTATTCCAATTCCTGTAAATCTTTCGAAAACGACCTTTTAGCCTGCGAATGTCCAAACGATAAGGCATCTAAGGGCTCAATACAGTTATGTACCTCAAGTTTTCGGAAGGCCTTCAGTAAGTTCGAACAGGATTGCGTCTCAAATTATCCTAAGCCGTCGAATTCAGTACGGGAATGCACCTCAAGTTTTTGGAATGCCTCCAACAAGCTCGAACAGGATTGCGTCTCAAATTATCCCAAGCCGTCGAGTTCAGTACTGGAATGCACCTCAAGTTTTCGGAAGGCCTTCAGTAAGTTCGAACAGGATTGCGTCTCAAATTATCCCAAGCCGTCGAATTCAGTACGGGAATGCACCTCAAGTTTTTGGAATGCCTCCAATAAGCTCGAACAGGATTGCGTCTCAAATTATCCCAAGCCGTCGAATTCAGTACGGGAATGCACCTCAAGTTTTCAAAAGGCCTACGATAGCCTTGTACAGGACTGCATCTCCAAGTGTCGGAATGCGTCCAGTAACTCAATACAATCCTCAAGTTTACAAAAGGCCTCAAATAAGCTTGCACAGGATTGCATCTCCAAGTATTAGAAGGCGTCCACAAATTCGGTACAGAAATTCTCAAGTAATCCAAAGCCGTCCATTTCAGCACGGGAATGCACCTCAAGTTATTGGAAGGCTTCCAAGGACTGAGTATAAGAATGTACCTCAAGTCAGCAGAAGGGGTCCAGTAACTCAGTACAGAAAACCTCAAGTTGTCGGAAGGCCTCTAATGACTAACAGTAATGTACCTCGAGTTTTCAAAAGGCCTCAAATAACCTTGCACAGGACTGCATCTCCAAGTATCAGAAGGCATCCAGTAATTCAACACAGAAATCCTCAAGCTATCCAAAGCCGTTCAATTCAGTACGGGAATGTACCTCAAGTTATCAAAAGGCCTGCAGTAACTCAGTACAAAAATGTACCCCAGATTTTCAGACGGCCTCCAAAGACTCAGTACAAGAACCCTAAAGTTGTGTATGTCGATAAAATTAGGAAAAACCAGAGAAATAAGGAAGGACGTCAGTACAAAATGCAACCCCTCAAAATCACGTGGGAACTTAAACAGAATGCGAAGAAGGAATCAACTACTAGCACCAAACGGGCACGTGAGCAACCCTCAACAAGAAGACAATCAAAAACATCTACCCGGAAAGCACGATCACGCACTAGCACTCGCAATACCGTCGCTACTCCACATACTCCAGTAATAAGCAACGCATCTGGTAATGGAAAAGTAGTATATGACGTTTGGTTGGTGTTTGAAAGAAGAGAATATATGGTACTTAGCTCAATTCACCTACGTATCTGCTTGTCCCAACTTTAGGTTAAAAGAAATGCAAAGTCTTTTGATGACGCGAAATCGTCATGTGAGAAACTTGACGCTCATCTGGTTTCCATTCATAGCCAAGAAGAGAACAATTTTATACACAGCAAGCTCTTTTTTATACCAAAAAAACTTTGAACTCTCATGCAGAAATTTTGCAGAAATTACTTCCACCGGCTCCAAAATCAAATCGTTCGATGAGTTTGTCTATATTGGTCTTCGTCTAAATTCAAAAAATAAGTGGGAATGGTTAGACGGAAACGGATTGAACTACGAAAATTGGGCTGAACACCAACCTGACCAGCCCCACATTGAAAAATGTGCGCAGGTATACTATTCAAGACTTGATAGTAGAGTAGCAATAGACTTATAATAACTACATTTCAGTTCCATCAAGGTCCAGCGAACCTTACTCATGTCCAGGACTATAAATGGAACAGCATTTCGTGCAATTCGCCGATGAAGTACTACGTTTGCAAGAAAAATCAGCAGCAAAAATCAAAAACATCTTTCACACGTAAAGCAGGATCACCCAATAGCGTTCGCAATTCCGTCACTACTCTACGTACTCCGGTAATAAGCAACGCATCCGGTAATGGGAAAGTGGTATATGATGTTTGGTTGGTGTTTGAAAAAAGAGAATATATGGTGGGTAGAGTCGTGTTATCTATAAATCTTCTTGTCCCAAATTCAGGTGAAAAGAAATGCGAAGTCTTTTGATGACGCAGAGATGTCATGTAAGAAACTTGGCGCGCATTTGGCTTCTATTCATAGCGAAGAAGAAAACAACTTCATACACAGCAAGCTTTTTTTATACTAGCAAAGAAATGCTTTTGCATCTCATGCTTTTTTTGCAGAGATCACTTCCACCGGCTCCAAAATCAAATCGTTCGATGAGTTTGTCTATATTGGTCTTCGTCTGAATTCAAAAAATGAGTGGGAATGGTTAGACGGAAGCGGGTTGAACTACAAAAATTGGGCTGAACACCAACCTGACCAGCCCCACATTGAAAAATGCGCGCAGGTATACTCTTCCAGATTTGATAGTAGAGTAGCAGTAGACTCATGATAACCATATTTCAGTTCCATCAAGGTCCAGCGAACCTTGCTCATGTCCAGGACTATAAATGGAACAGCATTTCGTGCAATTTGCCGATGAAGTACTACGTTTGCAAGAAAAATCAGCAGCAAAAATAATGCTAATGCAGAGGTGGATTGTAGATAAAGACTGGACTGTTAGATTTGGCTGTTCAACAAATTTGGTAGACCTACACCTATAGTGTTCCAATGGGATGCCAAAAAATTCTAAGCTTGAGTACTCTAAACAAATTAAAAGCTTACGCTTTATTTGCGATTTAAAAAGCTTAAAATCAAAAAGCTATTTGCATCTTAAAGCTTTAACTTTGAAATTCCGCAAAAAAGTAGCGGCGTTAGTTGACAACTGGGATGCTCGATGGGAAAATGTTAATAATTTTGCCCGAGTTTTGTGTAACTGTGAAGGATTTGCTAAAGCACTGTTCATGCTGCCTGTTTCGGTCGTAATTATGTTGAAGTAAATGGAACGAGAAAAGCAATCTATGGCACAAAGATTGGAAATTTCTTCAATAGAAAAAAACTTATAAACCACCCATTCCTCTGTTTCTTAGAAAAATATAATGTTGCAAAATTTGTGGGAAAGTGCGAAAATATAGTAATTTCTAGACACTTGATATTTTTCGAGAGAGGCAGGTGCAGTTGTACAAGTTTACGACGGTAATTTTCAGAGTTTGTGTGTATAAATGCCATTTGGGAAGGGCTCAGAACTTCCACTAAGGCGGTCTTTAATTACCCTTTTTCTCTCCAAATCTTGAAAAGGGAAGGTTCAAACTGTTTCTACTTCCGCTCTATCATGGCGCTTCGCCTACCGGTGTGTTGCAACGAATCCTTTAGAGGTGAGCAGTGTTCTAATTGTGCAGCCGCATCCTTATTAAGGAAGAAGCAAGAACTCAAAAACTTCGCAGCGTTTCTCTTCGAAGTTCGCACCTGCCTTTTCTGATATGGCTGTCGCGGATCGTGCCGCCAGCTCCCAACGTCAGTGGTACAACGGCTTTCCTGCATCGGCGAGGGGAGCCAGGGGTCCGCTCCGTGAAAGAGTGAAAACGTATCATGTGGTGGCTACCTGTGAGAAATGCTATGTGCGCCTGCCACAGGGACACTCCATGCACACGTAGAGGCCCTTGCCACCAGCCTACTTAGCAGTTACTTGGCACTTGCGACTCTACCACTCCCAACCATCGACAGATGGGGCGTGTACACATAACCATGGCAGTAACTAGTATTGTGCCAGCCTTCCGACAGATCTTTCCCACCAGGCATGATTATAGAATACACACAGATATGATGACACAAGGTATCCATGGAGCCACAGCCAAGCTGTGGCTCACCGCATCAAACAAATCACACGGGCAAAATGCCCACCATTTACTCACAACTATTCCCTAAACTCAAACACAAGGGTGGAGCACAACCAGCCCGATGTTATCCTAGGGGCCGACAATATCGGAAACCCCTCGTGGCGGTGTCGCCGGCATGTGCCAGGCGCGAGCGCTCACGGGGTTACCTCGTCTGCGGGGTTGCCTGTCCTCCGTGGCGTGTTGGATGTGAAGACGCGTGAGTTGGGGACGGCGCTGCATCGATCAACACGTGTGAAGACGAAATTGGGACCCAACCGCTCACCAGGTAACGAGATAGGCGACTGATTTGAAAGCTGCGGCGGTAGCGATGGAAAGACGGGAGCAGCGCGAGGACATCGTTTCGGGACCCCTTCGCAGCGCGGCGGCCTCCTTTGATAGAAGTCGCGAATCCGCGACAATGGCAATGCTCCCTTATGAGAACTGATAGGCATTTTCTCCAATAATGCATAGATAGAGAAATTTTTTCTGATTATTTTGGAACTTACAGGAGCATAGGGTCTGCGCTGCCGAGAAATTTTTTTGACCGAGCAAAAAGCCACTTTTTGACCTTGCCTTAGGGCATGTATGGATGCCTATTTAAGATTTACGGAAACTTTACAATTAACGCCGAAAGGGAATTGGTAGATGGGCCCTGCTCTCTTGCTTTACTCTAGCACCTCCAACTTTGAACTCATCGATTACTTCTATTCGCAGAAAGTTATTGCTTGTAAAACACTTATACAAAAGATCACTGTTCGACGATAAATTTCACTAGCAAGACGTTTTCTTCATAGAACCGAGCTTCTGCATATATTAGCCTTTTAGACCTTTATTCTGCGGCTCATAAAAGAACTTGACTTGAAAAGCGCATTGTGGAGATTTGCTCGCAAGAACATATTTCCAGGGTGGGGACGTACCTCGGCCACTTGGATATTTTAAGCCCGAAATCTTCTTACACTAAGAATTTATTGAATATTGATGTGCGTTAGAAAGTGCAAAAAAAGCACTTGCTAATGATACTGACAGTACCGCATTAGAGATTAAATTCTCTCAGAACGGCTGCTTCAAACACAAGGAAAAAAATCGGACAGAACTTAAGCAGCAACCTGATATAATCAGTCCATTCAGCGCCATGCCAAATACGCTCTTCCAATTTGATTTCAAAGTATATTACGCATTAGAATCTTATGAATTCCACAATTTCAATTACATATAACGTTAGAGAACGCTCAATGCATAAGGAAGACAGGCACTAAAAAAGTTACTGGGACACATTCAATGCGTTCCATTCTGTTCACCACTGCGACCTGGTTCCCTTGCCTTGTAAGATAACATACAGGGTGCCCAAAAAAGATGCACACTGTTTGATCTATTAACTCTCCTACATTCACATCTTTCGCTAACTTGGGCCACTATTGTAGAGCGATATTTAACTTAGATTCGCAATATAGAGCAAATCATCAATCGCTCTTCATTAATTACTTAGGATCACGGTATGTATTTTTAGTATGCAGAGCCATTGCGGAATAGGACTTTCGATAAGGAAAACTCCCAAAAACCTGGAAGTTTGTGGAGCAAAGTTTTTAAACGTGCGAATTCATCAAATAACATTTTATCAGTTCTTAGCTTAATAATAATGTACATATTTCCGACAAACATTAAAAAAGCTGTGGTTACCCTAAACCTAAAATAACTTATGAAAGAAGCATTACGGTGAAGTGTAAGCTTCATATTTAGAATTAGCGAATACAAATAGTCCAGTGCAAGAGTTCTGGCTTGTTTGGTTTTCTCTCTAAGGGAAGGCATTTTTTTCCTTCAATGGCCCAAAATCTCTATCGAAGCCCCTACAGTAATTCTACAAAAGAGATTGATGATTCACTCCATACCGCTAACCTAAGTTGAATCTTGCTTCAGAAACAATACCTCCAGCTCGGCAAAGGACATGAAAGCAAGAGAATTATCGACAATCGAACAGTGTGTTAGTTTGGGACACCCTGTATACTCTGACTCAGACAATTTCAGATGACTTCCGGGGCAAACTGAAGCTCTAAAACTTCAGGGGGAATATTGATGCTGCTAGGTAGGGCGATGCCCACATATACGACCCAATAGGAGTGTCCGTCCCCAAAGTTTCAGAAGTTCAGTTTGCCTCGGTAGTCAGTGATTGTCTGGCAAGGGAAGCTTGTTTAGTCAAAGTGGCCATTCCAAATGAGAGCGTAACATATTGAAGGGCATAGAACGCTGATTCCAAATATGCCTTCCTTACCTGCAGAACGTTTTTGGAAGAGGAACAAAAAACTTTTTTGAAGCTAAAAAGTGATGTGCATTTGAGATACAGTAAGTTGCTAAAATCTTACTAGCCTTCAAATGATGCACCCAAGTAGGATATATTTATTTTAGAGTATATTCATGTGAATAAAGTGCTCTGATGATTATCACTGCTCCATTGAAGAGCTAGAAATAGTATTTTGGTTAGTTTTGTCCTACTTGCACATTAGATTTTTTGCTCGATAAGCGCTCATAACTCCTCGTCCATAAACGTTTTGCAGATATAGAAAGCAAATTTGAATTAGCATACCTAAAATATGATATACTAGCTGGCTTACCCGGCTCCGCCGTATCCGGACCAAACTTGGCACACATACATTTCGGGCCCCGGCGGGTGTCACAGTCCACTTTTCGTTATCGATCGATGTCGATTTTACCGATTTTTATCGATTTTTTTGCAGAGTTCACCTACAGGGCTAGGAGTTGGCACAGGGGGGAAGTGAGCATGGGGATTCCGAATACAATATTAGTTTTCAGAATTATCGATTACTTTTATTGATTTTATCGATTTTTTGTAAATTTTGACATGCGAGGCTGGGATTTTGCACAGGGGGTAATCGAGCATGCTGATTACGAACACAATATTAGTTTTCAGGATCGTCCATTACTTTTATCGATTTTATCGATTTTTTTGTAAAGTTTGACCTGCGGGGCTGGGAGTTTGCACAGGGGGGTAATCGAGCATGCAGATTACGAATACAATATTAGTTTTCAAGATCGTCCATTACTTTTATCGATTTTATCATTTTTGCAAAGTTTGAGCTAGGGGGCTGGAATTTGGCACAGGGGTGTAATCGAGCATGCTGATCACCCCCCTTGGGGATGATCAGCATGCTCGATTACCCCCCTGTGCCAACTCCCAGCCCCCTAGCTCAAACTTTGCAAAAAAATCGATAAAATCGATAAAAGTAATCGATAATCCCGAAAACCAATATTGTATTCGGAATCCCCATGCTCGATTACCCCCCTGTGCCAACTCCCAGCCCCCTAGCTCAAACTTTGCAAAAAAATCGATAAAATCGATAAAAGTAATCGATAATCCCGAAAACCAATATTGTATTCGGAATCCCCATGCTCGATTACCCCCCTGTGCGAACTCCCAGCCCCGTAGCTCAAACTTTGCAAAAAAATCGATAAAATCGATAAAAGTAATCGATAATCCTGAAAACCAATTTTGTATTCGGATTCCCCATGCTCGATTACCCCCCTGTGCCAACTCCCAGCCCCGTAGGTGAACTCAGCAAAAAAATCGATAAAATTCGATAAAATCGATATCGATCGGACGAAAAGTAGCCTATGACACCCGCCGGGGCCCGTAGTGTATGTGTGCCAAGTTTGGTCCGGATCGGTTCAGAAATGGAATTTTCTATTCGGAACATACGTACATACATACATACATACATACATACAGACAGACAAACAGACATTCAGCTTTATATATAAGATTAGGTTGTCTCATAATTAATGCACGTTTTTCTAACCTCTTTTTGACAGAACTGATTTTCAAAGAAAAAATTTTTT